AAGGCAATCAGGTTGGTCTGACATGATCTCCCCCTAATAAATCCATGCTGATTGCCCCTGAGCATCATTTCTGATGCCGGCCCATCACAAATGTGCTCCTTGATGATCTTCTCAAAGAGTTTCCCCAGGATTGAGGTAAGACTGACAGGCCTATAGTTGCCCGGGTCCTCCCTCTTCCCCTTCTTGAAGATGAGGACCACATTTGCTACCCTATATAGTACCTTCCAGGTACTGTGCCAGAATATAACAAACCTTCATCTTCTCAGTTGGTTAAAAGCCCAGACAGCAGAACTGCACTAAGAACCATGAGAACACATGAACATAAATGATCCCAGCACTATTGCAGTCTCTCTCATCTGAGAGAAGGCATTTGATTGGCCTATACTTTTGTTCCTTATAAAATGGAATATATATATTTTCCTTCTCCAAACCTCTTCTGTATACCTGTATCTTAGTTTACAGGAACTGTGCATGGGCTGCCTAGGTTTGTGTGTGGTGTAGTACCTGCTAGAGTCTTTCGGGTCTTGGTTAAGTCCTGATAGTAGTCTGAAAGTAAATATGCTCCTGTTTTTACTCTTCTTTCTAGGGATTGGGGGAGATCCTTTCAATGGAACTAACTTTATTGACTGCCTTGATGTCTTCCTGAAGGATCCTCATACAGAGGGAATTATATTGATTGGTGAGATTGGAGGTAATGCTGAAGAAGATGCTGCAGCATTCTTGAAGGAAAATAACTCCGTAAGTCCTAAAGCATGCTGCCCTCATAGAGTTAAGGCATTCTGGACATTTTTGCCACTTAAGAGAAATTCATTTAATTGAGAATTAGAGACAGAGCTAAAAACATGGAAAAAATTAGTTAAAACCAATTAACAGTGAGGTGTAAAGACTCTCCAGAGACCAGGGTATCAGTTTTTTATATCAGTCCTATAATGCTGTTTGCTAGCTAACATTCTGATTATTTTTGTGAACCATATATGCGTGCCCTTTATGGGAACTGTTTTAAATTGATGACTGTTTACATATCCCTTCTGAGCAAAGCTGTCTTCATCCCTGCAGGCCACTGCTTCCTTGTAAGATTTCTCGAACTCAAATGTCTGTGGTTAGTGTCTCTTAACAGTATATAAACAATCTTTGCTCTTTCACCACAGGGTCCTAATGCCAAGCCGGTGGTGTCATTCATAGCTGGCCTGACCGCTCCTCCAGGCAGAAGGATGGGTCATGCTGGGGCAATCATTGCCGGGGGGAAAGGTGGAGCTAAAGAGAAGATTGCTGCACTTCAAAATGCTGGCGTTGTTGTGAGCATGTCTCCTGCTCAGTTAGGTAGCACTATGCACAAGGTCAGTATTTGGACATCCTGAGTTATTTGAAATTATGGAACATGCATGTACATACTGGTGGTGGATGGGTCACTTTCGACGTGGAGGGGTGCAGGCAATGGAGTCCCCCAGGGCTTGGTCCTGGGGCCTGTACTATTCAGCATCTTTATCAGCGCTCTGGATATGAGTGTGGATTGCATGCTGTCCAAATTCACTGACAACTAAGTTGTGGGGCAAGGTGGGCACGCTGAGGGGAGGGACAGAATCCAGCTAGATCTAGACAAATTACAGAAGTGAGCGGATGAGAATAGGATGGAGTTCAACGCAAACAACTGCAAGGTGCTGCATGTAGGGAGAATGAACCAGCAGTATAGGCTGGGGAGAACACCCTTGTCAGCACAGTGGCAGAAACGGGTTTTGGACTCGTTGACTTCAGGATAAACGTGAGCCGCCAATGCATGGAAGCGGGCAGTAAAGCTAACCACACCTTGGTTGGTCCAGGTCCAGGGAGCTGATCCTTCCCCTCTGCGATGCTGGTCAGGCCGCAGTTGGAGTACTGTGTCCAGTTCTGGGCGCTACACTTCAAGAGGGATGTGGCTATCTCTGAGAAGGTCCAGAAGAGGGCCACTTGTATGGTCAAGGGGCAGCAGGGCAGACCAGTCAAAGAAAGGCTAAAGGGCCTGAAGCTATTCAGCTTCCACAAGAGAAGGCTGAGAGGGGATCTGGTAGCCGTTTACAAACTCACCTGGGGGTACCAGTGGGAATTGGGGAAGGCTGTGTTCCCCTGGCCACCACCCAGGGTTACTAGGAAAAACATCCACAAATTATTAGAGAGCAGGTTTGGGCTAGACGTTGGGAGACATGACATTACAGTTAGGGCTGCCAGGCTCTGGAATGGGCTCCCACGGGAGGTGGAATCCCTCCCACCTTGGGGGTCTTCAAGAGGAAGCTGAACTGGGGTGATACGATTCCAGCACCTGTTCCTGCCCAGGGCAGGGGTTGGACTTGATGATCTGTTTAGGTCCCTTCTGACCTTAAGTACTGTGCTAAGCAGAACAAGATTCTTAAAAGCCTTGTTGCTGGAGGTGGAGAAGGTTGTTTTGCAAACAGGTCTAATGTGCAGTGCCCCACCTGAAACCATTCAGAATTATCTAGAGTTGCAATGGCTCTACTAAACAAAAACTGCAGCTGCTGTTTAAATGTTGAGGCTTTTGTGCATGCTGGCAGTCTTATATATTGTCTCATGTCTTGTCAAAGCCATGTAGCAAAACAGAGAGACTATAATATTTGGATTACAATGGACTAACAAGTTCTAATTTATAGAAGCTAAATGTCACATTAAAATAATAAATTCAAATTTAATCTCTAGGTGAGAGAATGCCCTTTAATTTTTTTCCCACAAGAATTGATTTTTTTTTTTTTTGTAAGCACGTGGAATAATTCTGAACCCTGAGCATATGCACGGAGCTGAAATCAATCATTCATACAAAAAATGTAAATCCTCTTTCCAATTCCTCCCCTTCAGTCTGTGCCCTTGTGCATATATAGTCCCTTTACAACTGTATTTTGCTTTTGTCTGACACTTCTGAGAGAACTGCCTAGATAACTAGGGAAGATCTATACTATTTTTTGCTTTTTTGGCCTGTGTTACTGTCAAAACATGCACTGTCTAGTCTCTTGCCACACAAAAATAAAAGTGCAATCTACTCTAAAGAATGGAGCCAAACTAAGAAGTGGCTGCAGCAGAAAGGCACATCTGCTTGCATTATATTATGCGGGTAGGCACACTGTTTCTGCTGCAGCTCTTCTCAGTTTCTCTGAGATGCTTTCTGAAAATGGAGGCACCTGGGGCAGTTCTACCTGGAGGCAGCAGCATTTTTCTTGAGGCTGCTGCTGCAGGGCAAGACTGTTGAAGATGGGACACTGAGCTTTTTGGTCTGACTCAGTACAGGAATTCTTATGTTCTTTATATTAACCAAAGCTTCTTTGCAATACATCTGCCTCATCCAGCTGAAATGTTAGTGACTAAATATTGGTAAACCTTTTAAGTCTACGACAGATGTTGGAAGCAGGGAAAGTCTGCTGTAAAAAAAACCTTTATTGAACTTGAGCTGTGGAGCTTACTTCTCCCTACCATGATACCATCTGCTTGTGTTTAACTGGGTACCAAGTCATCACTGTTGCTGTTACCCAAGACCATGCTTCTGACTTTATTTATTTATTATTCTTAAGGCATGTTGTTTGCTTGCTGTAACAGTGGGAATTGTTTTTGTTAATGATTTCCTTTCCATGTCTCTCCCCTTCTCCTCCTCCCTTCCCCGTACCTGCTGAGAGCGGCATAAGAAATTGGCTCTATATGGCGAGGGGGCAGTGTTACTCAAGAAATCAGCCTCAAATTTAAAACAAAGCCAGCAGAATAGTTTAAAATAGACAATAGAAATGGTAGCGTCACTTTCTCCTTCCTCCCCCCAAATATCAAATCTGACTTTTTATTTGGGCAGTTGCGTTTTAAAAATAAAGGGTACGTGAGAGTAACTACACTATTTTCACAGCACTATGTATTACTTAAGTAATTATCAACAAAGACAAGCTTTGCTGTCATTCATAGCTTTGCTCTCCGCCAATAGACGACAAGCTGAAGCCCTACATTGGTCTCCCTGAAATATTACACTCAAACAAGGGTAATTTAGAACAGGATTTCTTCAAAATGCCTTCATTAGATGGCATTTTTGCCTATGTTTTTGGCTTTGCTGATGGTAAGAGCTCTTTGAGAACACTTGTGACAACTGTAATATGTCTGCTTGTTCTCTCTTTGAAGGAGTTTGAGAAAAGGAAATTGCTGTAAAAGAAAATCCTCTGGAATCTTCTGTCATCGAAATGTCAGTACAACACCTTGGCTCTTATACTTGTTGTCCCCAACGCTTGATCACCTTGATATGACTGACATGAGTCTTTTTTAAATTAAATTTGACTTTAAGGGCATACACTTTTTATTTCAGCTTGTCCTTTGTTCAGACATGGTCACCTGATTGTAAATTGTAGCAAATTAATAAATTCAGCACTAAAATTAATATATATTTTGAATTACTGAAACTCAGTGACTTTTTTTCTCTCTTTAAATCATCCCAAGGCAGTAGTTGCTAAAATAAACAAAGCCCACCGTTCTACCTGGAAGCTTTAAGAGCAGTTTAAAACTTTGATTTTTGGCTTATGTAAAGTACTGCATAATATATGATGCTTTAAGTAGAGTCCAGTAACTATTTGTGCACACACCCAGGACTTTTGGGGTTGGGTAAGGTTGTGGGGATAAAAGCAATCTTACTTGGTCATTACTGGCTGGTAAATACATTTCTACCTACAGCTTAGATGAAGTATGCCGTCCACTAAACAAACATTCTTGCATCTACAAGGTGAATCCTGTTGATCCATGCAGCTGGATGTGTAAACTTGCATCCAGATATTCTGTCCAAAGCTGCTGAGCTTTATGCAATGTAACCCTCGTAAATGGGGGGTTATCTTTTACAGTTGTTGAAAGTTTGGGGGGTAATTGCCTGTTACCTTAAAAACTACGTTTGACTTGAGATCTAAAAGATGAAGCAATGTCCCATGCAGTGGCTGAGTTGATATTTCAGAGTTTTATATTTTTGTTGAAGAGAGGAATTGTAACTCCCTATGAAAATATATATTCATAACTTTGTAACTTGCAAATTGCATTATTTTTGCAGCTTATTGTCTTAATTTTCTCCTTCCACCTTTACCAGTTGGTGCATTGCTTTGACTGTTTTTGAAATACTGCAAATGACAGGACTTGCTGCAATGAGTTGGCATTCTGAAAACAAATTTGGTGAGAGATGTTTCTTGTAAATGATTACCAATGCATCCTGGAAGTTGTAAGGATAGATCAAACTGGTGCCTGTAAATGAGTAGGAGAAGCTATAACAAACTGACTGAGTTTAAGTTGTTTTCATTATAATGGAATTAAAATCAGCTGGGGAAACTTATGTTACATGATGTTTCTATAAAATATATATATGTACACACTCCATAAAGACTCTGTTGCAGAAACTTGTGTCCTTATTTACCAAAAGCAGTTTTGTGCTTTTTCAAAAGAAAACAATGCAGTTAGTCTTCCTGCTGTGTCTCTGCAGTGAGAGCAGGTGTCCTAATACCACCATTCAAAATCTGGTGCGCTATAATCCTGCAATAACAGAAGACATGGTAAATCTATGCTCATAATGAATGCATTGTCCATCATGTTGTACAGCATGTAAGAATGTGTCCTGTTGCCTAGAGCTCTGAACTGCTGCAATACTACAAATAACTCATACTGAAACAAGGCAGATCTTCCAAGAAGACCTGGTAATTAGGTGGCTGAAAGTCACAGCAGATTAGTAACTTAAGTCTCATATTTAAAGTCTTACTATGAACAATTCTTGCTAGATGTGTTCAAATTGCAAAATTGGCTTCATTTTGACTCTGGAGCAGGAGGGGGAAACTTGTTTGGTTTTTTTGTTTGTTTGTTTTTTCCCAAGATTGGAGATATACAGAAATTAAAAACCAGGTTTTAAGCGTGTGCCCATCTCCTCAGTCAGTGAATGGTGAGGACATTGAGACTGGTCAGTGAGCATTCCTAATAAATATAGCAGTTGCCTCTTGTAGAGTTGTAACTTTGTTGTGATTGACTTGTTGGGAACTAGTTTCATCACCATCAGAAGCCACATGATGGCTAACAAGACAGGTCACATTTTACTGTAATGAGCTGTCTCTTGGAGGCAGTTTCACAAAACTTGCAGCTTGCTCTGGCACCAGCACAGACCCACTATCTGAAGCCTGTGCGCTCTGGGCAGAGACATGCAGGCAGGGAATCACAGCTCTGCCCCAGCTCCTTGCAGTGGGGACAGCCTGGTCTGGAGCTGGGACAGCTGCGATCCCCTGTGCAGGTAACAGACTGTGGCTCGACCCTGGCTCTGGAGCAAACTGCCCCCATCCCAAGTTCCCAGCCGCTCCGGAGCCAGGGTAATGACTTTCACGGAGAGCACAGTATCTAACAAAAGGCAGCATGCAAATTTGGCCAGTACTGTATCCTGTTTAATGAAAGATGGAGGGTTTCCTAGTAAACAGAGCTTATTGACTACAGTCAAGGGTGTGCTGACTGTTAAAATAAGTGTAGGCATTCTCGGTAGCTGCTAAAAGATTAGTAAGATTGGCTACTTTCCTTGTCAAGATTTCATAGACGTTTGGGCTGGAAAGGTCCCCGGAGGATCATCAAGTCCAGCCCCCGTATTCAGGCCAGGATCATCAACCAAGGCCATGGATGTGCAGTCTCTGCTATATTCAAGATGAAAACTAGACTGGGAGAGGTCCAAGAAACTGATGTTAGCCAGAGACGCCTGAAGCTTTTTGGCAGCTACCCTTTCAGTAATTTTCCCTAAAAGGGGGGATGGGATGACCCTGACTCGACAGGTAGCTAAGCAATGTTATTTTCATTGACTAACTAGGGGTTAGACAATTGTAGACTTAATATCTGTCACCCTGCCCTCCTGAATTGAGGCACTGAGCAGTGGCCCTCCTCTTCCCTAGACTTTCCAAGCAACAACAATTTTTAAAATGATTTATAGGAACAGGACAAGACAGAGCTTCCTCAACTCCAAACTCTGACTGCAACAAAAGTGGTCTTCCCCTTCCCCTTCCTCCTCCTCCCCAGCCATGTCTGCACAGTAAGTGGAAAAATTGTGCCAGTGAACTGAAGATGTGTTTTCTGGACAGAGATGAGCTGGGCACTGAACTAGGTTGTTTGCCACCCTGAGCATGTCTGTATTTCTCTGGGCTGGCACTTTGCAGATGCGATGGCAGTGAAAAAACACCTTCTTTACTGCTAGCACTCTACATCTTTGAGAGAGATCTGTGCCACAGTTGCTTGAGAGCCACATGCATTCTGCCTACCCTCCTGCTTAAACTATCTCCACTTCCAAGTATATTGGGGCTTCTGTGTAGAGGCAGCCATGGAAGTGGACACCTGGGTTGCATTGTGTCCGTGTCAAAGGTCAGTGTGCTATTTCACCCTTCACTCAGGATATTAAGATATTACTGCTGCCCTTGACAGGTCCTCTGGTCGTGTGCCCCAGAGACCTATGGATTCCATGTCCTCTTCCAATACAAACCTCTTAGATCACAGACACCTGCTTATTGTTTAACATGACTGATCAGGGTATAAAGAATGCAAGAGTTGATAGTTCGTAAAAGAGCAGCAGGAGGCTTTTGTGCACTTGGGCTGTGTTCACCGGCTCAAGCTAAAAGAAAGCAGTTCCTACCAGGACTACAGGGAGGCAGGGGCAAGCACTGTATGTTTGAAGACGCACAATTAATCAGTGGCAGGGTGAAAGGCATTGCAGCCTGCATAGTTGGCTCTCAGATGAGTATCATAGAGCATGTTAAGGAAAGCAGCATTGTGTTTAGGCGCTTTCACCAGTATTTGTCTGCTTGCACTGGCACATGGCTCCAGAAGAGTTAAAGTGGGTGTATAGATCTGCTTGATTCCTTCTCTAAACATGTCATTCAACAGGTATTAATGGCCCTTTTTAATGGTCTTGATGTTCCACTGATCAAACTAGCCTTTCTTCTTCAATCCTGGTGGCTGCTAGCTGCTCCTGGTAAGGTAGCTCCTATTTCACAGCCCTGCAGACTGTTCTTAACTCATTTCAGCAACGTTGTATTTGTTTTTGGCTCAACATTAAACTAAATAGTATAGCCCTAGACCCCTACCATAGTAGTAAAGCTTCTAGTTTCTGTTTACCTTTGCTGTATGGGATGAAACCCCATGTCATCTATACTCCCCTTTTCAAAATCCTACTGTCTCTGGCACACCTATTCTGAAAGAAGTGGACTTCACAATCTAGCTGCTGCCTTAAAGTGCATTACTGACTTCCTATAGTTTCTTTTGCACGCATTTTCCTAGAATGCCGCTCTGTCCATGAACCTTATACACGGTGTCCCTGAGAGAGAGAGAGAGAGAGAGAGTCTGCACAGGGTAGTGACAGGGGTCTGGTCACCTTAGGTGGGGTGAAAACAGCTGAGGCCTCTGAGTCTGGATCCCCTGCTTGCAGTCTGCGCTGTGTCCGAGAGGGGGAGCCTGCGTTCTGTCGCAGTCATGCCTTTTGGTACACCGTAGTTGTTTCAGAAAGAGCCTTGGTGGACTTCTGAGCAGGAAGACCCACCTCTTTAAATGACTGCAAGCTACCAGCTAATTTGCCAAGCCTTGCATTAAACATGAACATAAGCTCTTACACAGCTCTTTTGCTTTTATCCAGCAAAATAGGGTTCTGATCCTGACTGGTAAATTCTACCCTAATGCCAACAAATAACAGAAACAGGATGACTTCCTCTGGAGGAGCTGGTTTGGCAATTCCCCAAACCAAACTTAGGAGATGGCTGATTCGAAGTCCGTTGAATATCCTTGGAAAATTCAACACTACCATTTTTTTTTTTTTTTTAATTTTGCTCTTTATTTTTTTTGCACTGCACTTCCAGCCCAGTGGGAGCCAAAGCTGTGTTTTAGTGTCATTGCCTGCCAAATATAGACAAGAAACCCAAAATGACAACCAGGAAAGGCTTTTTTTTTTCCCGTCTCTGAATCTCATGACATTACAGCTGTGCTTCAGGCTATAAATTTACTGCACTTTCTCTGCCACAAGACATATTTTTAAGAGCCCCTTAATTACGGATTTGCACGGTACAGAGCCCATTATGAGCTTTTACGTCAATTCTCAACACGGCTGATGGTACTGCAGAGTTGGTGGTTGCATGGGGTAAAGGACCACTTGTTTTTGCCTCAGCTAATTTATATGCTTTGTAGAGTTTGCATAAATATATCTTTATTTTCTGATCAAGCAGGAAGGGGTGTATTAAAGACCTGCATTTTAAAAAGAGGCTTCTGATACTGGGTGCTTTCGTTGCTGGGTGTCTTGGGTGAAGGGAATGCTTTTTTGCTTCATTAGTAGCTGCTTGGGGACCCAAAACTGAGGACACTGAGAGTGCTGGCTTCTAGTATAACTAAGGCAGAGAGAAATTCAGACTAGCTATCCCATAAAAGTGTTTCAACTTGGAAATGCCACTAGTGGTGCTTCATGTGAGTTTTATTTTGGACACCTCATGTCTCCATTCATTATGGGCCAGTCTTGTTAGCTAAGAGCTATACAAGTCATGGCTGTAGATGTTTGTGATGCACTATCTTCTTTCTTGAATAAAAGAAGTCTGATCAGGACTAGAATCAAAGTATCGGGCACAAGATTTTCTATAAGACACCACACTGGTGTTTCCAAATCAAAGTGTTACAGATTTCAATCCAATTTTTTTTCCCAGTTACTATTTTTGAATTTTCACAAAGAAAGAAGATCTACATTTCTGCGGAAAATGGACAATATTCTATGATTGCTTGCTTGCTTTTCATTGCAATTTTGGACCGAAAGGGGGGAAAAAAGTTTTCTGACTGCTTCCAGTCAGAATCCCAATGGCAGGGATTATGACTGCGGCCCTGCCATTTGGGAAATGGTTTGAAAAAGAAGGACTGGCATTTGAAATCCCTCGCAGTTCGCTGCCTCCCACCATTGTCAAGCAGTGAGCTTGGCAAGCATCTTTTCTCGAGGGTGAAAGAAAGTAGGTATGCACACCGAGCTTTCTCCTTGCTGTCATGTCTGCAGTGCCAGTCAAGTTCAAGTGCTCTGTCACTTTAAGAGCAGGTTCGGTAAACTTCTCCGGGGTGTATCGCTTGGGAAGTCAAATGGAAACGGGATGGCTGAAACCTGCCAAGCCTGGGCTTAAAAAGACATAGCAGCTTTAAAACCAGCAGGGATGAGCTTTAAATTAAATTTCTTCAAGAGCGGAGATCCTCTGACACCTTCCCTGATTATTTCTTTTCAGCTGTTGTCAGGCAGAAGAGAGCAAAAGTGTCAGGCTCAAAGAAAAGTGTTACTTAAAAAAAAATATTCATATATTAAAATAAAAGGGGAAAGGACTTCCTGGGTGCTCCACCTGTTGGCTCTTCCCCTAAGCTATAGATGGGAGGAATTAAACTCCTGGGAAAAGCTGCTGCTGCTGCTTGCTGATGATGCATAAGGCACTCTGTAAGCAAGAGGCGGGCTGCCGAGCAGGTGCTCTGTGCCAGCTCGCATTAGCGTTGCATTGCCACTTAGATATGACTGAGATGTCACATCGAGCGGTCCGAGGGTTGAACAAGATGTGCCCCCTCGGGTCTCTTCCAGAGCCTGTTCTGCACACTTAACTCCCATTGACTTCTGGCATCCAGCTATCAGGCTCCCAGTGTCCAGATCATGCACACAGGGCAATAAATCACTCCAAAGAGAGCTCGAGGGGCTTTTTGCCCTTGGAGGAATATTTGAGGACATCTGCCATTTTGTACCAAAAAGCCTTGCTCCTCCAAAGCATTTTTGTCACATCTAAATTGGACTGACTTTTCCAGGCTCTGCCCCTCAAGCATGGGAAGTGGAGAAATCTCAGGCTTGTGATTTGTGGACGATGAGCCTCTGCCTGGCCCTCGTCCACTTCCTGCCAGGCCAAATCAGTTCAATTATTGACTATCCACAGACTGGTGGGTAGAAGGAGCAAGTCCCACCACTGGACCCACTGTGTCCCAGGG